CACCATCGGCCAATGGGGGGGAGGCGGCTCGTCGTCATCGGCGCGAGGGGGGGTGTATGCGTCTCGTCATCATCGGCGGCCGTGCTGCTGCTCGTCGTCGGCCGGGTGTATGCGTGCTGCTTGTCACCAAGTGCTGCTCTCCTCGTCATCCGCTGACTCTCTCGCTCCAGGATCTCGCACAACGACTATGACGGTCTCGAGAGGTCGCGCACATCGTCTCGCACTGCAAGTGAGCACGCTTCCACTTCGTGGTGGGTCGGATGGGGCGTGACACAGGCGGAGCCGACGTCAACCAGCATAGGCGGAGCCGTCGCTGGCGGGGGGGAGGGGGTGGAGGTGTCGGCACAGGTGATCACACCGCCGCAGGCATCTCGGAGGCGTAGGTGATCACACCGCAGCCGGGGGAGTGGCGGGGAGGGAGGTCGCGCATCACGCAGGCGGAGCCGACGTGATCGCAAGCGCACAGCACAGGCGGAGCCGCCGTTGTGCGCGGGAGTGGCGGAGGTGGAGATGCGTGTAGCGCAGGCTCCTCTCCAGCTCAAACATGACATGCACAGCGTACTGAACCGCGCCTCCCCTCTCCTTTTTCATGCTCGTCACCCAAATGGGACGCCGCTGCGGCGGGAATTGCGCCGAGGATGGATGCGCGCGTGAGACGTTGCGGCCCAGCAGTTGAGCAGCTCACTGCCGCGCCTGCGCTTCATCTTGCTAGGCATCGCCGCAGCTTGTGCTTGCTCAGCATCGACAGCAGTCATTGTTGCGGCTCGTGCCCGCTCGCCGCGCCCTCAGCGCCTCTTTGGCACGCCTCCCCGTCATCACCCGCGCAGTTTTCATCTCCTCGCCGTCGAAGCTCGGCCCAGCCGGACGTCGACTCTACTAAATGCATCTCCGAGCGACCAAAATGTGAAAATCCCGGGGGCTACGTAACATTTTTCGTTTTGAATGGCATTTGTCTTTAGATGTTGAGAATATTTTGGGTCGCCGTGCGCAAGCGCCGAGGTCATGATGAGCTGATGACGACGAGGCATGGTGGGGCTTAGCTACTCCGCAGGCTGCTGCTCCTGCCTGCGCTGCACATTTCCCCCACCCCGGCTGGCAGATCTATGGAGGGGGAAGCGCGGGGGAGGCGCATCAAATTTGGTCTGATGAGCCTCAGATGGGTGATGACAACGGGGGGTCATACTCATGCTAGAGCTTAACTACGCTTTGAGCATGTGGGCCTGGTGCTGCCCTGAATATTGAGCACAAAAACTAAGCGCTAGACCATCGGGAAGGCGAGGAGGAGGCTGCGCAAAAAGTGTTCCCACGGCCAAAAATCTCGATGACGAGCATGGGGTGCAACCTCAGTGCGTCGACTTAGGGTTTGGGTTAGTTTAGGGCTTGGGTTAGAGGTTAGGATTTGGGTTAGTGCTTGGCGCAGAAGACAGATATATAGAGCATGCCTGCCAGCAGTACCAGGCAGCCAGCAGGACTCAGCTTTGGCACAGGCTCTGGGCATCATCACAGCAGCACAGCATCAGCAGGAGCATGGCCTGAAAGATAGGGGCTAGCAGGAGTAAGCAGCACAGTATCTGCCATTACACAGCAGTGGCCAATACAAGTGCATGGCAGAGTGACATGGCTGGATAGAGCAGGGCAAGGTGCATCTTCTGAGCTTAATAATGCATGCCATCAAGTCAGTGTTGCGCGCGTGGCAGGCAACTACACTGCAGCCAGAATGGCCAGATAGCATCTGGGCAAGTGGATGATGGAATGGCAGATTTAAAGTGACTAGCGCGTAGAGGCAGCAGTTGGGAGTGCAGGGGCAGCATTTGCAAGTGGCTGGCATCAGTATTGGCGGCACAGCGGCAGGTCAAAGAGTGTGGGAACAGCACTTCAAGCGGCTGCTGGGTGACAGATAGGGGCTTGATTGCTTGGCGCGCACCAGCTGCAGCATGCCCAGCATCAGGGCTACGCACTAGTACCACTCACAGTAGCCCCACGGCTGTTTTTGGGTTCGGGTTACGCATGGACCAGCTTTCGGCCAGCAGAGGCGGCAGACGGCAAAAGTGCTGGATTACAAGGGGGTGCCCAGCTAGGGGTGCTGCAGAGTGACTGACATAGCTGTAGCTGCTGAGCAGGCGCATCTTCTGAGCTTAGTAAGTGGTGCGTCAAAAGTGACGTGCGCGGCAGCAGGTACAAATAACCTTGTATCTGCAGCATACAGCAAGGCAATGCCAGCCAGGGGGCAGAATGTTGGCAGGGTTGACTGATGGGGAGGTGCATTGGGCCTGCCTGGACCTGCCAGAGAGGCAGCAGGGCATTCCAGTCAGCCAATGCTGCTTGAGGTCACCTGGAAGAGCGTGGGAGCAGGAATGGCAACTTGAGTTTGGGGGGCTACCTCGGCCGGCAAGGAGCGCCAAGCTCTAAGCCGCGGAGTAGCGCTACCGGCTGGGAAAGGCGTGGGAGCGCACTCGGAGCGGTGGTTGGAGACCGAGAGTGGAAGCTCGGTGCTGCGGTGACAAATCTGCAGACAAAGACGATACACTGGCACGGGTGAGAGTGCCGGTGTCAATCGAGGTAACGCTGTTGTGCAGCGCTACACCTTTGCAGCCGTGTGACAGGCAGCGGAAGCCGAGCGTGATGTCTACAAGTAGACGCGACGCGCCGAGAGGCCCAGTCGATGAAGACTGTGGCGGCTCGGGTCCAAGGAGCTACGCCGGTGCTGGCAAAGCGACTCGATCGAGATGCCACGTCGGTGCTGGCGACGCGGCTCGATAGGCGAGAGGCCTCACCGGGGCTGGTGACGGCGGCTCGCGAAGGGGGCGGAGAGGCCTCACCGGGGCTGGTGACGGCGGCTCGGCGAACAAGGGCAAACTCTGGAGAGAGCGCGCACGAGTCAATTGCTGTGAGAGGCAATGTAAAGACAGAGGGGGATAATTGGGTGACGTGTGCGCTCGGGGGCTGGCTCGCGTGAGTATAAGAGGGGATTGCGCCTGTCAAGGAGCGAGACAGGCGCGGTGCGTCGCGC